GAATGAATGTTTGCCATGATCCGATAGAGATTATAATTAATTGATTAACAATACATCTCGAGAGATTGAGGAGCGAGATCCAATCGTACTGACTGTGTCGGCTCGAGTATCGCCCCCGCTACGCATTTCGCCGAGCCCCTCTCCCCTGCCCATCTCTGAAAGACGCAGTAATTTCGTTTTCAGCCGAATAATCCTCCCTCGCATGATATGTTAGACATTTGGAATGGAATGCGATGCACCCTCTCGCGCTTAGCTGATGACTCTCACTCCGCCCCCCCCCCTCCAGCGGACATGAGGATAGAAGGAGGCTGCTCATCAACTTGACCTTCACTGTATCGGAGCTTTTCAGTGCTTTCGTTCCTGCTTCCTGCGTGCGAAGACTTCGAGTCCACCGAAGCAAAATCTACTAAGTCTCGATTTATTCACTCTAGACGAGTAGCTTGCTATGAGGTCTACGACTCCAGGGACATTCCCTTGTAATCGTTGTTGAAATGTGAAAGAGGGTGGACGTATGCCTTGAAAAGCCGTGCACCGATAAAAGGAGGAATAGTGGGTTCGCGGCGAGGTAGGATCGACGAACACCATGTCGGTGGAGACTGCTATTCTTGGGCCGGCAGGCTTTTCGCTATCGGTGCTGATCGTGTCCGTTCTCTTCATTGCAATGTGTGGGTGCGGTCGCAACTCATCGACGGCCAACAAGGAAGCTGCCGAAACCGTCGAGACTCGTGCCGTGATTTTCCGAGAGTCGCCTCAACTCGCGAACAAGCAGATGACGGCAGCGACTCTGAACGGAGAAGTAATGACCGGGGTTCAGGTAGTGACATCATCTGGTAACCATTTCGCTCCGGCGTCCTCGTCACCCGTACCACCAGGACGAGGAACTTCGGCTGGCGAACAATACTACGCAGTCGTCCAACAAGACGAGGAAATGTATGCCGAAATCGAGAGCGCCAACTCGTCCGTTACATACGCACGCATCGAACCCCGCCAGAACGCTCCCTCAGGGATAACCTTGCCGCCCGTCGATTCCCCGCCAAGTCCAGCTTCGGTTCAAACAGTGGTGGACGGCACAAGTGCAATGGGTAGAGCTCCAGCGCCCCCTACGATCGAGAGCTTACAGGCCTTACTGACACGAGCTCACTCCAGACAAGGTGAATAAAGCGCACGCTCCATCGCGGTCACTTGTGAAGAAGATAGCGCAAGGCGAGGAGGACTTTCATGGCAGATAATCTTAACTTTTCGGCGACTCCCAGAGATTGGCTGCAACCACTATTTTCCGAGTGGGAGCCAAGGACTCCGCTCGCGGCAGTCACGGAACAGAGTTCTAATTCATGGAGTCTAACTGGTTTCTTCTCCTCTCTAGCGTCCACATTGTCGATTTTCGCCAACAATGGAGGGCTGTTCATGGTTTCGAATGGGCAAAACTCGAGCATCCCCATCGGTTCGGACATAAATATCGTGAGCAATCTGTATTCAACGGTTGATTCATCTCAGAAGCATCAGCGGAGAATATCCTCTGAAGGTAATGGAAAACCGATTTCAATGACGAAATTCCTTGTTAGAGAACTGACTACGAGTCGGACTTCGGAGTACCTGCTCGATTAAGCACCTTTCTACTCGATTGTGGTTTGTCGATCTGACATGTAGCTCAACCTCCAGCATCCCACATGTCTCATGCCCCGTCATTTCGCCGGGATTCCAGGTCACAGTGGTGATAGCGTTGCTGACGTAGATCAGCTTTGCGCGAAAGTTTCCAAGAAGTCCGAGAGACCCTCCCCTCCCCCGGAACTCGCTCTATCTCAACTGCCGGCGTCTTCGTCGCCCCCGAACAATATTCATCACCTACAATCTGCGAACATGGGCTCAAAGTTCGAAGACAGCAATCACATCGGCTCGATGTTGCCTCCGATGTCGCTGAAGCGGAAAAGCTCGAGAGCATCCAGAGAGGATGTGGACGACGATCCTTGCTACGAGATAGTCGGAGGCGCCCACGGAGTTGATGAAGAACCAAAATACGAAAGGCTGAAAGGGTAGGGCAATCCGACCGAATCGATGGGATTCTCCATAATTTCCATGCCACAGCCGGTTCGCTTCCTCGAGTCTGTCTAGATTTTTTGAAGATGCCGAGCTGGGATTATTCGTCGGGTCTTTTGCCCCCATTGATATGGTGCAAAAACGCTCTGATCCGGAATATTCGTCCCTCAGATCTGCTTCGAGCGACATCGATCCCAACTACGAACAGCTCAATTTCAATGAGGATCCTTGCTATGAGGCTTTAGGTGGCCTCAGCAACACCAGCGACAACGATCCTGGCTACGAGAGAGTGTCTTGGAGAGAGTCTGACGTCACAGACCCAAAGTATGAGAGGTGAGACAGTTGATTGATCCCGAATATGAATAGGGTATCGATACGGAATGCGACGGATAGTAGTTGTCCCAAATTAATAGTGGTTTCAACTTGTATCCGACTGATCGACTGATTTTCTCTCGGTGGCAGGATACCCCGCGGTTACAACATAATCAACGAGCCTCGGTACGAAACGGTTCGCCTCCCGAGGGACGACTCCTCTGATGTCGAAACAGACCCGTGCTACGAACGTGTCGGTTCCATAGAAGATTCGGAGCTTCATTGCGAGAGAGCGCGAGGAAAGCCCCGACGAGAGGACAGTCTTAGCTCTGATCCGGGATACGAGACTGACAAGAAGCCCAATAACGCTGTCTCGAATGGACATGTACAAGTTCGCATGAATGGGAGGCCAACGCGGACCCTGGTTACTGCGAACTCGCACATGCTCCAGGAGCCAGACTATGAGACAGTCAAGAGTAATCCCCTGATTCCCCGATTCTCGATTGCCCGATTCTCCATACCCCGATTCTCGATTGCCCGATTCTCCATACCCCGACTTTCTCTGCCGCTGATTCTGGCGGAGTCTTCGAGAGGCCTCTAGAGACATCATCACCGTCGCACAAATGAAGATGCGCGCTGATCGGTCTCTCTTGCTTTACATCGCGCGTCTCACGAGAACGTCACACTCTCTCTAGAGGGAGCTACCGTCGATCGAACGGGATAGAGAATCAGCTGTCGGGAGGGACATCAGGAGATGACAGCGTCAAACGGAAAATGAGTGCGGAGTTGAAAGTTCAAAGAGCTGATGTGAGTTTAATCAAAGAGTGAGAGCGAGTTGTGATAGTACTCAACCCAAGTATCGTACTCAATAAAATGTATTTCGTCGCTATCTCGAGTCCTAATCACGGTGAATATGCGGTACGGGGTTCCTTCCCGAGACCCGATACTTCGACCGTGAAACCTTAGGGGAATTCGATGGCTCCCCATTTTATTGACAGATCACTCGAATGCATCATGGAGATGAGCAGCTCCGGCGCTCGCCCGATTGGGCGTTATCCTCGACTATTACTTCCGGACCCAATGCTTTTGTTGCTGACTATAGTTTCCGGATCGAGTTGTTATGACTTGATCGTCAGCACCCTCACTGTGAAGGCTCCAGCGTAATACAAGAAAGCTCTGACTATGGCTTTCGAAGAATTAGTTTCGAAGCGAGGGGAACCCTTTTACATTTCCGAAGGCTATCTCTTCGACGCTGAGAAGAAGAAAGACGATCTATCGTCGGTGCGTACGGAAAAGAGCGGACGGATGCCCGGCTAGGATGACGCTGCTCGAAGAGCCCGATCTGATCCTCAGAAAACAGAGTGGACTTAGTCGCCACGAGCCAGACAACATGGATCTTATACGTCGCGCAGTCTCTTCCAAGATGAAGTTGGCCGTGAAGGAAGATGCCGTCCGGGGTGTCAAAGAGGTGTACTATTCATGATCGAGTTCGAAAATTTCGAGCCGAGGGCGAGGCATCATACATCGCGTTCCCTTCTCGAATATTTCCGACATCTCTAGAAGCTCGTAGACTGGGGGTGTCTTGATTCTCAATCCCCTGACTATGAGGCGCAAGTCACCTGAGTCCGACTTTGAATCTGCGAGCGGAGCAAGAGCCTGGCTGGAGGCTTATGAGCGGACGGACGAGTTCCTTCCCGGAGGTGATCTTCCCGAGACATTATATCATCATAACATCCCAGAATTGAGACTTGAGGGATATTCGACGACACCAGCATGCCTCGGGAGCCGAGTATGAGCACTAATGAATGCCTAATATTATGAACATGCCTTTCCCGTAGGAATACTATTGTGGTCCCACAGCGCCATTCCCCTTAGCGAAGCTAGCTCTATCAGGAATGACTCCGTCGATCCGCGATTCTTCTTGAGGTCGGACGTATTCCAGGTGAATCTAGTTCATGGTTCACCAAGGAT